CCGAGGAAGAGCGCCCGGAGCTGCGTGGCGTCCTGCAGCAGGCGGTCGCAGAGCTGGCCCCGCTCCTCCTCGCTTTTGCACACCATCTTCTTCTGCATGAGCGCCCGCAGGTACTGGCTCGCCACCAGGAGCTCGCTCTCCGTCAGCAGGAGCTGGGCAGGGGAGAGCCGTTAGCGCTGGGCAGACCCCGATTGCCCAGGGAAAGGCAGAGGGGAAAGGGGCTGGATGCAACACCAAGCCGTGGGGACAACCTGCTGGGAAGCCCCCTGGCCGGAGGGACAGAGAAGGTAGCTAAATTTGGGGGCAACCCTGAACGTCTCTGCGTGACGGTGCCCTCTGGGCCGGTTTGCTCTGCGGCAAACCCAGCAGCGACTGCGTCCCCGCTCCCCTCCCAGCTCCCGGCTGCCTCTGGGCTGCAGCTTGCACCCCACCGTGGTACCCAGCTGCCCAACCTCCTTGCCCTACAGACAAGCAGCCATTCGAAGGACGCCCCGCAGCAACGCGTACCGTGAAGACGGGTTTCTTGACACGGGAGAAGTCCTTCGCATACTTGTCAATCACTTCGCACATGCTGCTGACGAGCTGGGAGCCGGAGAGCCACTTGCGGGAAGGCAGCTGCAGGCAGAGGGGCTGAAAGAAGCAGAGGAGCAGCGTACGGCGCCCTGCATCGCATCGCTCTCGCGGCAGCTGCCGGCGGCGGGGCAGCATGACATCCCACAGCCGCTGCCCGCCTGCTGCCCAGCACCACGGCCCCTTTTGCCTTGCAAAACCCCCAAGCCCCCGCTGCCAGCCAAAAGTCAACACGAAAACGTGAGAGTGGTCTAGGTTAGGAAATTATGGAAATACAGTGGGGGCTGCCCCTCCCTGACACGCCGAGATCCACATTCTGAGGCTTTATCTGGGTCACGATGCCCCACCGCGGGCAGCACCTGGGCACCAAGCTGCTCCTCACACGCCCGCTTTTGGCCCGTCCTGCTGTGATTTTATTTTTCCTTTCCACTCCTCTCCACTTCCCTCGTGTAGACATTAACGTGTTTCTGGCCGAGGGCTGTGACCCCCCTGCTCCCCCCCTGCTGTCCTTGCCCGTCTTCCTGCCTGCAGGCGGACATTCCCTCTACGTCTCTGCTGGGGCCGCGGCAGTCCCCACGCTGCCTGCAAGCGTTTCACCCTTCAGCTGCTCCTTTGTTTTCATGGCATTCAAGCCCTAAATAGCAATGCCGTTAATTATTCCAGATTTTTGGTCCAGGCTCCAGGAAAGCTAAATTTGACTACGCTGGCAGGAAATGACTCGGGCTGTCGCACATGGGCTTGTATCCTCTGCACGGACACTGCCTCTCTCCTGTTGGTTTTCTGCCATGAAACAGCCACAAAAAGGAGCGCGAGGCAGCCCGGGAGGGCTGTGGCTCCCGGTCTCTGTCCGTTAGCGGTTCGGGGGCCACAAGCCATCTGCCCCCAGCGATACAGGGCGGTGCTGGCTGGCGACAGACGTCGGGCGGTTTATCAAGGTCTGGGCACCGGGCTGGCAGAGATGTCTGCAGGA